CACAACCTTAAGCCAACCCTAAGCCCAGCCAAAACCATCCCTAAACCATTCCTAAACCATCCCTAAACCATTCCTAAACCATCCCTAAACCATCCCTAAACCATCCCTAAGCCATCCCTAAGCAATCCCTAAACCAACCTAAACCAACCTAAACCCCCATCCTGAACCCTAATCAAACCTTAAAATACCCTAACCCCCCCACCCAAAACCTACTAAACCACCCTAAACCCAACGTAAATTAACCATAAACCAACCCTAAGCCCCACCGGAACCCCCCCTTAAACCTACTCTAAATCAACCTGAAGCCACCCTAAGTCAACCCACCACAACGGCGTAAACCAACCTAAGCCAACCCTAAACCAACCTAAAATCACCCTAAACCCACCCCAAATCACAACCTTAAGCCAACCCTACACCCAGCCTAAATCATCCCTACACCAACCCCCTGCCCCCAAACCTACCCTAAACCAACTTAAAACCACCTTAAGCTCACCTTAACTTAACCTCAAACTAACCCTAAACCAACCTTGAAACCTACTCTAAATCAACCTGAAGCCACCCTAAGTCAACCCACCACAACGGCGTAAACCAACCTAAGCCAACCCTAAACCAACCTAAAATCACCCTAAACCCACCCCAAATCACAACCTTAAGCCAACCCTACACCCAGCCTAAATCATCCCTACACCAACCCCCTGCCCCCAAACCTACCCTAAACCAACTTAAAACCACCTTAAGCTCACCTTAACTTAACCTCAAACTAACCCTAAACCAACCTTGAAACCAACTGTAAACCAACCTAAACCAACCCTAAACCAACCTGGAGACCAACTCTAAACAACCCCAAGCCACCTTGAAAAAAAACCAACCATAAACTCACTCTAGGCCTAAAATCAGGGGGGCGCTAGTCAATACTGCGTTTGCGCTGAAAAAAGGTGATTTTCGAATTGGAGCTGCCAAATTGCCTTTGTGTACTGTTCTAGCACTTAAAAGTTTCCATTTTTGAGCGGAGCCGCAGAATGTGCGCGCTGTGCCTGAAAATGATGCAAACTACCGCATATTGGCACCCTGGGCGAGTTAATTTGCTTTTGGTCCTGTAAACGGTTTGTTTTTGATCCAAGTGTCGATGATTTTTGCTGATCCCGTAAATATGGTCTGTTGATCCCCCACCCGGAGGAGTTTTTTTCCGAGTAGGCAGAGGGGGCCATAGAATATACAGTAACATCAAGTCATGCTTTCTAGCCCAGTTTTGCTGTGAGCTGTAGCCAATTTTGGAATTCTGGGCTGTGGGTTGGTGGGTCGCAGGATCGAGATCGCGCGGCACTACATGCTCTGCGTGCGCCAGCTGTGGCACTTCCTGCGTCACGCGCGGGGCCCCTGCTCGGGTTGCTCAACTGACGAAGCCAAGACAACAGCGGCGATATAAAGAAGTAGACAAGGGTTTGCGCACCCCCCAAGATTGGTAGTGGTGGTGTTTTGCTTTCCTTCAAAGCCTCCAAACCAGAATGGTGCGTAAACGGAAGCCCGAGGGGAACCGTTGCCAGCCGTTATCATGTTGTCCCCCACTTTAGACCCTCCTTGTCTTACAAGGAAGTCATGAGTCCCACTGGTTGGGTGTCCAAGGACTGCCGATCCTTGGGGGCTGTGTCATTGGCACTTCTCCCAATCTGGCGGCCTAGCCCTCCACGCAATGTATTTGCTTCTTTGTTTAGGGAGGCGTTCCAAAAATGGCCATGAGCCTCGCTGTCAGCGGCGGTCCGCAACCTCACCAAACTGCAATCCCCAATCAGATCACCAGCCTCTCAAGTTTAGCTCCCAGCCAAAGCGCCAAGTTCGGGCAAGTCTTCGGGCGCGCCCAGGCGGGCCGCGTGGCAGAGGTCACCCTGCGCGGCGTCACTCTGGAGGGCCTGGCGTGGGCTCCCGGCACCGTAAAAAAGCAACTGCAACTTGGCAGGATGAAATGCAGCCTGTTCACAGCAGTAAGATTGTCGGTGTTCGATTCTTAGATTTTGGGCAGGCGAAGGGGGGCCATCCAATGTTATACACAAATATACCTGTGTTCAATTCGACAATCGCCGCACGGTTCTGATTTGGAAACAAAATCCATCTTGGAAGAGTACTTCCGGGGAAAGACCTCTGAAGAACTCCGGACAATCATGCTGAGGAGCCGAGAAAATGAGCACGATGATCTCGCCAATTTTGAATTCGGGTATTTGAACAGTACGTGCGGCACAGTACTTCTTGTCAGTGCAACTGTTTGCCACTTTGCCCCGGTCTTTTCCATAAATCACAGGTTCAAAGTGATCCTTTAGCAACGAACATGGACCCATATACGAGTCTATGACACAGTTATCGGTCTCCAATCCCATGAAGTGCCCACCTGCATTTGGCTCAGTGGCCCATGCAGTTGGAGGTTCATCGCGTGGGAGCCACTGCTCCATGTCGCCGTTTGCTTCCCGCGCGCGGCGCGGTGTTCGCTGCGGAGGTGCGACTTGATGGAAGTGGCCGCCACCGAAGGAGCCTTTGCTCTGGTCAAAGGCGGAAGGGTGGTGACGTGGGGCGATCCAAAGAAGGGGGGCGACTGCGGGCTGGTTCGCCAGAAGTTAACCCGGGTTCAGCAGATCCGAGGGACTGATCGGGCGTTTGCTGCCGTGCTGGGGGACGGCACCGTGGTGACTTGGGGCGACCCGGACTACGGGGGTGACTGCGATGTGCGGAACCTGATGCATGTTCAGCAGCTCCAGGCCACCGGAGCCGCCTTTGCCGCCGTCAAAGCCGACGGCACGGTGGAGACCTGGGGTGATCCGGACTACGGCGGCGACAGCAGCGGGGTTCGAGCGCAGCTGACGGGGGTGCAGCACATCCAGGCCACCGCAGGTGCTTTTGCCGCGGCCCTGGCCGATGGCTCCGTGGTGACTTGGGGCGACCCCGACTTCGGCGGGGACTGCTCGGAGGTGCAGCCCTCCCGGGTCCAACAGATCCAGGGGACGCGCCAAGCCTTTGCCGCGGTGGATTCCAGTGGCTCTGCAAGGCAAACCTAATCTGACCCTGTCATTTTTCAACCAGTTCAGGTTCAGCCATAGGGCTTTTCAGCCCCGAGTTTCCCGGGCCCCGGGTGCACTTGTGGTTTTGGCCATGGCTTCTTTAGACATGGTGAAGTTGCTGATTCTACAAACACACTTTTGTTGCAAAGGGAAATCCGATCATCCCCTTGTACAGTGCATGATTATCTAATACATCCCAACGTATACCCCTTGCCAACGTGGGTCACTTCCCTAGAAACCGCCAAGCCAAAAGTTAATTTGAGTTCTTTGCGAATCATGTTGCTTGTCCTCAGCACGGAGTATAGGAGTGAACTTCCCAACCATTCCCTACAACACCCAAGAGGTTGGGGCAGTTTCGGGGTTCCCAAGCTCCTACTAGAACAGCAAGCAACGCATTTTCGCCCCCTTCCCCCCTTTCCTCCCGCCCCTTCCCCCCCCTTTCCTCCGCCTGAGGCGGCCTCCCGCCTTCTGAGGCGGCGCGGTGGTGGCGTGGGGGGACCTCCGCAGCGGCGGCTGCTGCGCCGAGGCGCGGCGGCTGCTGACGAGCGCCCAGGCGGCCGAGGCGCGGCGCCGCGCCTTCGCCGCCGCCCTGGAGGCCAAGGCGCCCGCCGCGAGCCGCGAGCCGCGTGGGGACGCGGCGCGGGGAAGCGGCGGCGCGGGCGGGACGGCTACTTCGCCCCGAACAAAATAGGAAAACACTACGACTGAAATGAAGATATGCCATATGCTGCAATTAAGTCTATGAACATGAGATAGACAGATGAATTTGTGCCTGTTTTAGCCTCGGAGGTTTCCCAGACTGCCCCCCCTAAGAAAGATGGCAGAGCGCGTTGGATTTCAGATCTTCGCGAACTCAACAAGGTAGTAAAACAACAAGTATATCCTTTGCCATTGATTGATGAAGTTGTTTCGCATTGTTCTCATTGCACATATTTCACGAAATTGGATATCACCATGATGTATTATTCTTTGGAACTTGATGATCAAAGCAAGGAGCTGTGCACTATCGTCACTCCCAATGGCAAATTTCAATGCCAACGAATGGCGATGGTACTGAAGCCTGCTCCAGATGTCGCTCAAGAATATATCGAGAAAACGCTTGGAGATTTCAAGGAACGTGGAGTCGAATCGTATATTGTCGGAGTTAGTCTCTTTAGCAACAGCTACGAAGAGCACATGGAGTTGATCAAGACGGTGGCCCCAAAGCCCCGCAAAGATCCCCGAAGACAGGTCCTTCGTGTTCCCTCCATTTTCCCAACTTGCAACCCCAAGCATGCTTGACCGCGTGGTGAACCGAGCAGGCCGACCCCAGGAACGCCTTGAAAAGTCAGATCTACGCGGGCGACGAGGCGCGGGCGACAGGTGCACCCAGGGTGACATGGCTGACACAAGATCCAAAACAGAACCATTTGCCACTGACAGCCACAGCCATTTACAACCGCTTGTAGGTGCTTTTTCAACGATTTGGCCCCCCCGCCCCCCATTGGCTGCGTAGAGCCACTTAAACCACTTGGAAGCATAATGTAGCCACTTACAGCCACATGCTGATAAACACTTTTAGCCACTAACCAATTGCACCCACGTACAGTCACTTATGGCCGGTCATCGCCAGCTACGACTACTTAGAGCGAGTTGTAACACCGCATAGAGCCACTCTTGACCGGTCGTAATCACACACACACACACTTATAAACCACTAAGAGTAACTTGGAAGCATTGACAACCACTTGGAAACACCCATCGCCACGTGTTACCTCTTGCAGCCGTTCGTAGCTACTTATGGCCTTTGCCCACTTACAACCACATATAGCTACGTATACCCACTTACTGTCACTGGAGCTAGAGGAAATTAGTTGTATCAAGTGGCCATTGGTTATGAGTGCTTGTAGCTGGTTGGTCATTGTAGAATGGTTTTTGCATTGCAATTGTTCGTAAGTGGTGCGTGGTAGGTGGCCACAAGTTGTGGCATGCAAGTTGTTCAATGTAGTTACACGTGGTATTTGGATATGAGTGGTTCCAAATTGCCATGCGTGACTTTAAGTCAAGATTGTTGGTTGCAAACGGCAATCCTAGTGGTGATTAGTGGTTCTAGGTGGTTATAATTGGTGTTAGCTAGTCACAGGCGTTTGTAGGTGGTTCTATGCGGTTCTATGCGGTGCATAGGAGCGTGAAGTCGAAAAGCAGCAATGAATGGTCATAACGGGTGGCTAAAAGTGGTTATTTGTGGGTGTATATGGCAACGCGCGCTTGTCCGTGCCGATCATTGTGCTGAAAAGTGGTTGCCAGCGGTCATACGTTGTTATAAGTGCTAGTGGTTATCTCTGGTTTCATAAGTAGCTACGTGGCGTGAATATTAGTTTGGTGTGGCTGTAATTTGTTATACTTGGTCATGAGTGGCTATGGCTATGAGTGTGATGCGTGGTGATATGTAGTTATCAGTCATCAGAAGGTGTTGTTAGTGGCTGTATATGATTATCAGTGGTTAGAAGTTGCTACAAGTGGCTATATACAAATAACATATATATATATATAATACATTTGGGTACATGATTGTAGGTGGTTATACTTATTGTTTGAGGGGTTATATAAAGGGTCACTCTTGGTTGAAGCACTGCGAAAAGGTGTCAGGGCTCTAATTATCAAGGAAGCTGAAAGCTTTGTGGTCGATAAGCCCAAGTAAGCTCTGGGGTGCTTCGATGCTTTGTTCGTAGGTCCCCAGTGAACAACAAGCTTCGATTTCACCCCTTTTGCAGCACCCGACATTCCACATGGCTCAGGTCCTTTCCTCTTTGCCCTGTGTTTCGCCTAAAGCGTTCCCCGGTTTTCCTGGCTGATCCATTCGAGGTGGGGGACGTGCTGTGTGGGGTGCAGCGTATCTGGGCCACCGACAGCGCCTTCTGCGCGCTGCGCGCGGATGGCTCGGTGGTGACCTGGGGCCATGCGCCCCACGGGGGCGACAGCAGCCAGGCGACGGCATGCTGAGCGTCCCTCGTTCGGTTGGCGTTGAACCGGGGAATCACCGGGGAAATCAAAGAGTTCAAGGGCTTCCCCTTTCAGGTTTCCCGAGAAATGGGTCCGCAACTAAATTGGTCCATGGCAGATGGTTGATACGGCGGCACACCTCTACGGACACTATTCTGAGCACTTGAATTCATCCTAACGTAGTCTGACAGCTTTCATTCAGGTGAAGTGTACCCGGCTGGAATAGCTTTGTTCGGAGCCTGCATCTAAGCATGTCAATTGGCGATCATTCAGGCTTCCCTTTCAAGAAGTCAATGGCGAAGTGAATTTTGCGTTCTCCCTGTCGGATGGACGTTTCTGTCCAAGGGCAAATCTGTAGAGAAACAGCACTCCATCCGGGCGAGTTTCGAGGATCTACAAAGGTGCCAGCTGTTTGGTTCATGTTCGATGCAGAAGTTCGCCGAATTTGGTTCATGCCATTTGTAGATTTGGTTCCTTGTACCTGACATGCATTGTTTGACCATCAAGCCCATTCGATCACATGTTCTATTTGCCCTTCGACCATCAACCCAGTTGGGCAGGTTTCAAAATTGTGGACCCCTTGGTGGTGTTTTGTGACCCAAAGCTTCGCTTCCCTCCCCCAGGTGAGGAAGAAGCTCCGAGACGTGCGGTGCGTGACGGGCTCCAGCCGCGCCTTTGCGGCGCTCAAAGAGGATGGCTCCGTGCTCGCCTGGGGCGACGCGGACCACGGGGGCGACGTGGGCCACGCACGCCAGGGCCCCGGGCTGGTTACGGGGGAGAGGAAGGGGGACCGGAGGGGTGGGAAGGGGATGGGCTTCTTGTTTGGATGAGCTTCCTTGGCTTGCTTAACAACCATGCAAGCAAGGTGCAAGGCACATTTTGCCGTATTCCGCTCAACGCCACGTTTGTCGCGTTTTGGATGGGTGGGGTTCCCTTAAGAACATTCAGCGGAACGAGGCGCTAATGCGATTCCTCTTTACAAAAGCCCAACAGCCAATACCGTCCAAAGAGCCCGCAGGAATCCACGGAGCACCAAGCCCTACAAGACCACCCGACAAACCTTCAAAAGAACCTCAAAAGCAAACAGATCCTTCAAACCCTCAACGGAACCCCAGCAAATACCAAAAAACACCTCCCCTCCACACCCCCCCCCCCCTTCCCCCTGCAAGAAAGAAAGGCCCAACACAACCAGCCGAAACATCCCACACCGGCCAAAGCGTGGCTTCCAGGCGATGAGCTGCGGGATGTCCAGCAGATCGTGGCCAGCGCCGGCGCCTTCTGCGCCCTGCGAAGCGACGGCCGCGTGGTGACCTGGGGCCTGCGGTTTCTGGGCGGCGACAGCAGCCAGGTGCAGGCGCCACTTCGACATGTTGGTTGGGTCAAAATTAAAACCACCACATTTTCCAGGGCAATCCATTTTGGGGTTTCCCCAATTTTTGGGTTGATTCCGAATCAAGAGGCTGCGAGTTTCGTGGTCGAATCACGACTCTCCGAGTTTTGGGGAAGTTGTGTGCTGGAGTTGGATCAAGAGATCTTCGATTTCTGGGGGGTTGGAATGAACTTTGGCAAAATCTTCGATTTGTTCCAACTTAGTACAGAGTTTTACTCCCTGGTGCAGGTATCATAGCGAGGTTTGTATCAGCCTCAGGTCAGGTATTTTTGTCTGGAAGGTCGATGCCAACTCGTTTGAGCCAACACAAACCTGGAAGGAGCAGCTGACGCAGGTCCAGCAGCTCTACGCTACCCGCCGGGCCTTTTGCGCGGTGTTGAGTACTGGAGCGGTGGTGACCTGGGGCGACCCAGACTATGGCGGCGACAGCAGCGCCATTCTTTCGGACCTGGACGCGTTGTGACAAAAAGGAACTGAGCGAGCCGTGCGCGCTGGGAATTGCGTGGCCATGTTGGCACATGGCTTGGGGATTATCGACATGTGGCTGGCGTGTCCTCTTCTACTGGGTCATGACCTGTGAGCATCGTATTGTCGAGTTGTCCCTGCAGCAAATTGCTCTTCAAATCATGAGTCAGGAGTTGGTTCGTCCTGACTTTGTAGGAAGGTGCGTGTGCCGCACATCTTTTGGGGGACAAATGGAACGTGGGATAAATGGAACTTGGGCACATGAGCCGTACTTGCAGCTTTGCCCTTCTGACATTTGCAGGTTTGCATTGACGTCTGGCAACTTCGAAGGGTGAAGCCAGTAGGGATGTGGCACAGATGGCGCTGAGGTGTGTTCAAGTTGTTGTCCTTGGGATTATGTGCGGGTGTCTGTGTCGCGTGTGTCTCTGTGTGTGTGTGTGTGGATGCGCGTGTGGAATTGCATGTGGATTTGGATGTCTGTGTTTGGTTCAGCTCCCCAAAGGGTTCATCTTGTTCTTCAGAGCTTGTGGTTTCCTTGTGCCAGACCGCCAGAGGCTGGCCAGGGCCAATTTGGCCTCAAGTCAAAATCGAGAGACCTGCAGGCCTGACCAACGTCCAGAGAATTGGAGGGGGGTACTTCCCAACCACAGGGATGGAACGTTCGCCTTCAAAACAATCCCCAATTACCCACCTGAGAAAGCAACTCCCTCAAAACATCTCCAAATGGTTTGCCACACCCAAAGAGGCAGCAGGCGCGCTCGCGCTTTTCCTCCCCCGCTTCTTTTTCCGCCCCGCGGGGTCGGATCGAGGAGAAGTCCTGCACAGCGATCTCCACTTTGGCCAGCTCCCTGCGCACCCAGCAGCAGCACGAGGCCGGGTTTTTCCGCCTCCACCGAGTCGCCGGAGTGGTGCTTGTCCCGGGTGGATGTGCTTGACTCTTTTTTTTGGCTAAAGCGCTGGTTGATGTGCTGGATTTGTGGGCTGGCGAATGTCCCATACAAGAGAACAAAGGGGAACGTAGCGCAGTTCGAACGAACGATTGTTTGTTGATTGGTCTAAGTTTCAGGTACCATTCAAGGCCTCCACTTCCTTGACCAGCGGTTTGTTGCCTTCACATGTTTGTTACCTTCTTAGTTTACTTGTCACTTGTTTGTATCTTTGAACGAGCTTCCCTCGGTTTGAATCGGCTAGGGGCTTGAAGGAGCCAGCTGGTTCAAATCGGAATGACGAAGGATGCAGACCAGTGTGACATCCATCCCTTTGAGTGCTTGAGGAACTTCGATAATTAACAAGGGGGGCACAGTTGTGCATTCCCCAACTAGTTTAGGGATCCACACGAACAGTTTGGGGGCTGGCTTGATTTGCTTTGTTCAGAGCCAACACAGAGGCAAGCAGGAGATCGAAGAAGCAGGCTCGGTGATTCCGAAAACTGACTTCCCTATCACTTGATAAATTTTAGACAAGAGTCACATCGTTGCCAAAGAAAGAGCTCAACTTCCTGCACCTCGGCCGAGACAGATTTCCATTGCTTTCTGCTGGATTGGAGGGGTTGTTCAGCACGAAGGATCCTAGTTCAGAACGGTACAAAGGGACCCGCGGCTCGGCTTCAATTCGGCAAGAGGCCGCTTGGTTGCTCATAAATTGACGGACACAGACGTAAGTCCACTTTGAAAGTCTTGCGGGCTGGATGCCTTACTTAGCTGGGCGGCACTGTGGCCATGGGGAAATAGGACACCCTATTTGTTGTGGACCCATGTGCAGGGTCACCCACCACACTAAGGAGGTAGGAGATACATCCCTTCAGGTTTTAAGAGCCATACACTTGGGTGTTTCCATTTTTTCAAGGGGGAACCAAGAAGAAACTTTGGCCAAGGCGCGACTGAGCAAAGAGCAGACCCAGGCGAGGACGAACTCAGTGATGTAGGTGTTTTAGGTGTTGAAAGTAAGGGGAGTTCAATCAACCGTAACCGGTTCATTGGTGGGCTAATAGCCATCTCCAGACTTTCCCGGGTTGATGTGCAAAGGGGATCGGAACCGGGTGAACTCTAGAGGCAATCATACAGATGGAACCTTGCCGTCATGCGCATGGAAGCTGAGTCAGTCAAAGATGACTCTGGTTGAGCCGTATTGCAAAAGGAATTCATTGGTATTGTCTTTTCATTTCCTTTTTTTAGCAAGGAGGTGAACCCTTGCTCACCTTCTATCTTGGAAAGCGCGACTGCGAGGGAAAGTTTGTGCGTTTCCATCGACCTCTGACATCATTCAGAGGGTTATTAATTGTGCCAGAATTAAAGCCATCATTCTTTTTGAAAGGGACGCTTAGAGGGACCAACCTAGTTCCCCCTTTAGGAAGCACCTATGTGGCCTCGAACCAGGGAGTGACTCAGTGACTCCCACGGCGGGTGGTTTGTATGATCCCTCGAGGTGTTTGCATCATCCCTGGTGTGGTCTGTGGTGCCATGGTGGCGTGGTGTGTCTGTGTGTCTCTGTGTCTGTGTGGCATCTCTCTCTTTGGGTGTGTGTCTTTGCATCTGTGTGCTTTGCTCATTTCTTGGCGGTCTTTGCTTCTGTTCCTTGGGGGGTCTGCTTCATGCCCATGTCGATTGAGGTGCTCCGCGCAGCCGAGGCCGGGGACTTATTGCCCTGGCAAGTGACGGGGTCTCCCCCAAAGGCGGAGTGTCCCCCAAAAGGAGGTTCCCCCAAAAGGAAGGATTTCTGTCGCTTTCCGTGTTACTGTAACCTGCACGGGGGTTGAACGCATAAGTACTGGTCATGACTCATGTCCATCTTCCTTGAACATTAACAGGCAACAGTTTAAATGCGCGTTTTCCGACACCAACAAACTTAAGTTTAGGAAACAAGCAAGGAAACAACCTGAGTCTGTCAAGTTACGAGTTTCTGCCAGCAACGACTCCAGGACTTGGAACGCTGGCTGCCGACGGTCCAGGCCGGGGATAGGTTCGGAATATCTTGGAGCGGGTTTTAATGTAGAAAGATCCGAGGCTTAGGAGTTGTCTAGGTGTGTTTAGATGCGAGTTTGGAATTTTCGGAGTCCACTCAATTCCATCGTGGTGTTGGCACGCTTGGATGTTTGGTCGGTGTGTCTTGGTATGCCTTCCCCCAAAAACGGGCAAGGGCCTGGCGGGAGACGGTTCAAAGACTTCCGTGTCGCTGGTGGAGTTCGGGGAATCCGGGTGGAATAGGCGGAGTTCAGTCCACGGACGCTGAGCAATGGCACGGCGCGCCCTCGGGCCCGAAGCTCACGCCAGGTGCGGCTGACGCGGCTTCAAGGCGACCCTGGGCTGTTCGCAGCGCTCGACTCATTTGCCTCGGGCAAACCGCGCTGCAGTTTGGGGTTGGGTGGACACCGGCTTCGACTTGATTTCTCATAGTCAGCTGGTGATAGGCCAAGGCAGGGCATCCAAACCGTGTCACTAGTGAACACCACTTTGACATGCCCACCCTGGCTGTGCTGAACCTCGTGTGATCAGCTGGAGGCTTTTCGCACACACCATTTGGTGTGTGTTTGTTTTTTGTTGCTTTTAAAAGGGAAAACCAAAGGCAACAAAGTTATTTTGGGCTCATTTCATGGCCTAGCAACCATCTATGAACAGGATGGTGAGGGCCCACGAAACATGACCGTTACTCAGTAGAAGTTTTTATGTCAGCTTGGAGGACCGGAGCACCCGAATTGGAGATCATAGGCAGTCCTTGTGTCATCAGACAATTGAGCGTGCCAACACGGGCGACCTTTTGTTGGGCGGTAAGGAACTGGAACCAACACCGTTGCCCTTTGGCGGTGGCTCCAGCTTGCCACATTGTTTGCGGTTGTGTCTTGCAATTGTTTGCGGTTTTTGGATGCTGATGGCCGGAACTATCAAGAAAGCGCACGCACGTTTCACACAAAGATGGATGAGGGTAAAAGGTAGCGCTGCTGCACTCCTTTTCCCTTTGGCCCAGTGGAAGCACTCTGCCACACACGCCTTGTAGTTTTGGGCCGGTTGGCCAGGAGCGCCTCTCGTGCTGCCACTGGGAGAGTGGTTGGTTGCGGCGAGGCCGGCGGTTTGCATGAGGCTGATTGTGGATTGCAGTGCTGTCTTCTATGCGGGTTTTGCTTAAAATGTCTTGTTCAAGGCGGGTACCCTCTTTCAAGCGGAGTTGTTGTTGTGCTTCTTCTTTTTTTTGGAGCGCGCAGCCATTTGGAGGCTTGAAGCAGGTGGTTTCATGTCTTAGCACAGCCAGAGAAACCAGCCACCGCCGTCCCTTTCAATACAGATCCTTTCAAAGGGTCCCGTTTCGTTTTGACTTTCAAGGCGCATTGGCAAATTCAAGAAGTGCAAGCAGCGGTCGACCTCGATCAATTTTGTGTTGAAGGGGTCCCGTCCGAGACCAGGAGTCAGCCGGGCTTTCGAAGGGGCCCTGAGATAGTACGAAGCAAGACAAAGTCTAATTTCTTCATTTCTTTTCATGCCTGAGGAGCCCAGCTTTGCCCCTTTGAGGCGGTCTTTGAAGTGTTCATCCCTGGTAGAACTGACAGCACAGGGCTGTTAGCGGGTCGAATGCGAATGATGATGATGATGATGATGATGATGATGATGATGATGATGATGATGATGATGATGATGATGATGATGATGATGATGATGATGATGATGGCTGTTTGGTGGTTGTTGTTTGTCCTGAATTGTTTGGTTTAAACACGCTTTATCTTTGACAGTTGCCATGCGCACATTGCGAATCCTTGAAGTGGTGGCAGCGGTTTCATGCCAATTGGTTTCTTAGCCCTAGGCGCCCAAAGCCCTAACGCCTCGAAGATCGAGGTTTGAGGTCGCTGGGGTTGTGAGGTGGGCCAAAAAGTCAAGTCTCCCCACCTCAGCAGCTTGAAAGCGGAGCGGTTCTTGGCACAGGCAAGAGATGGCGAGGTTTCGCATGCGCGGACGCCCAGGAAAATCCCTAGGCACCTAGTGGTGGGGTTTGAGGGTATTGATCAACCCATCCCAGGGGGGGGGTTCCCTCCGAACCCCCTACAAAAGGGAACATCGTCTTGGTTTGTTGAGTTTCAGGTTCCCATCATGCCACACTCAGAACAGGAGGACCCCACTCAAAGGGAAGGTTTCCCTTTGGTTTCGTCTGAACCCAAAGCCAGCCCTTCCCGTTTTCGGGTGTTGGAATTCCCTTTAAAGTGCCACATCAACAATGCCCAGTTTTTCTTACATGCGCGAGCAACACATCGCTTGCCGCTTGAACTTGCATTCAGATCTCGTAGGTTGCCGTGTCATGGAAGTCCGACCTGTCGCACGAAGGGTGCTGTTGGTCAAGCAGGTGAGGCAGGTCAGCAACACCCATGATTTGTTCCAGCTCTTTCGACTGCAAGCTTGCAGTCCCCTGATGATTTGGGCACTTTGCAAAACAGAAAGGGCGGCTATGAGGGCCTCTGTTCTTTGCTGATTTGAGGGAATTCATATTATCTAATATGAAGATTGCTGCTTGGTTTGCATTCCTTTCCATGAAGGATTCTCACAGAAACCTTTGATCAAACCCTTTCTTCAGAGCTTGCCTCAGCATCTGCAGCTCTGCACTCAGCTCTTCTGGGGGGGGGCCGCCCCTCTCGCAGACCCCTCAGGGCTCGGCCCCTGGATCGCTGGGACCCAGTAGATAGGTCAGGGCTCTGGTCACCTTTAGTTTTTTGGTTCCCAGACAAGTCCCTGGCCCTGGCTTGCAAGCTCTCCGCAATGTTGAAGAGTGCCCTTGCAGACGAACCGAACGATCATGTCAAGGACTTCTCTGACACTGTGGGCGTGTTGGCCAGGTCGGTGGCAGCTGCTAAGCTGCTCAAGTTGGAGCCCGTCCTTAGTTTTGCCTTGAAGTGCAAAGTGAAGGAGACCGCCCGAAAGCCGGCGCGGATGGGACCCATTCAGGTCGCATCAGACGAGATCAGTCAGGCTCATGTGCAGCCAGCCTTGTTGAAAGCCGCAGAAGAGCTTCTAGGGTAGTCAGTCGCCAGACTCAACAGAACGCCTGAGTCTGCGCTTGAACCAGGCAGTGACCAACTCACTGCCAGTTGCGTGTTTGCCGCAAGTTTTGCGCAGCCACGTGTCACTGTGGCGCCACTTCTCCCGGCCTCTGCCTTGCGGCGTGGCCTTTGTTCTTCAATCAGGCCCATCTCACTTCACTGCAAAGGGCTCAGCCGCATACCCATCTTGGTCGTTCAAAAGCAGCGCTTCGTGGAAATGCCATGCGCCCGAGCTTGGGCTGAGGGCACCAATGAGAAGGAGAGAAGGAGAAAAGGAGAGAAGAAGGAGAGAAGGAGAGAAGGAGAGGAGGAGAGGACGAGAGAAGGGGGAGAGGAGAGAAGGAGGAGAGAAGGAGGAGAAAGCAGGAGAGAAGGAGGAGAGGAAGGAGGAGAGAAGCAGGAGAGAAGGAGGAGAGGAGAAGAGGAGAGAAGGAGGAGAGAAGCGGGAGAGAAGGGGGAGAGAAGGAGACAAGAGAGAAGCTATGGGTTGATGTTTTTTGTGTTTCTCATTTGTATCCCCGGATGTATTTATTGTGTATTTTAAATTAAAACAATTTTTGTGCTTGGCTGGGATTGCCCACCAGAAGTTTAAGGGTGTCCCCTTCGCTTACACAGCTTCCTTGAAGTTGCGCATGATTTGGTTGCTTTGGTTTCAATGTATAATGGGTCGTTATTTGTACACACTGAGCTATGCATTTAAAAGCTCATGCGCTTGGCTTGTGTTTGCTGCTTGTGCGTTTGCATGAGCAGCACCATAGTGGCAAGCCTCTTCTGCTATTGATCATGCAGGGTTTGAAGTTGTTGCTAAAAGCAGTGATGCTACAAGAATATCTGCAACTAGCAACAACATTGATTGCTGCCGTGCTTAGCCATTAGCGAAGGAGCGCGTGTGGCAACAAGGGGCCCCATGTGAGTCTAGTATTCTCACGGCTTGCCTTGTGCATCATACTCTCTATGGTAGTTTGAAGGTAGAATATGATAGATTATGTGTGTGTGCCCGTGGCTGTGGCATACAACTACATGTGTTGAAGGCTCGGCCAACGTGCAGCAGTGTCATCCGGCTGCTAGGGTGCTATTGGTTAGCTTGTGCCAGAAATGGCTTCCTCACCTCAGTGCAATCTGTTTGTTCCATCAAAAACAGTGTTTTCACAGCTGCGCAGAACATCTCTATGTTCCATCGTTTCTTGTTTTTGAACGTGTTTCTGCAGTTGACAAGAAGGTATCGACCAGGAGGTATCTACTTATCTGCAATTGTTTTAGTTTATTATTGGAGGGCGCAACTAGAACAAGTTTGTTTTCTAACCCCTGCCGCGCCAGCTATTGTGTGCCGCCAGCAAGCGTAGGATGATGTAGAATTTAATGTTGCCCACTTGCAGGTGGTCTGCTCTGCTCTCCTACCAACAATCTGTGGCCAGTGGCAAGGTTCGATCCTTCCTCTAGCTCAGGTAGCAGCTGGGTAGCCTGCGGTATGTGCATTTCGTTCACAAGGAGGCTACAGGCATGCAAGAGAAAAAGACCCAAGATGCTGGCTCCAGCAAAAGCTTCTGATGACCCACATAGAGGAAGTGACCTATGGTTGGTGGAGTCATTTAAGCTGAGATGGTGGTAGGAACTCTCACGTCCATCAATCCAATTCGGGTGTGGCTGACGATCTTGATTCCTGACCCTGGTCTTATTGGTCAAACATGTTGACTAATGGCAGTTCTCTTCTGCCTGGAACAGTTCCTGGAGTCAGCCCGTAGAATCTGCTACAGCGATGTCAAGCATCCTCTGAACCAAAAAACGCCTTCAGTACTAGGTCACACACATGCACGCCATCTTTCTCTAGAAGGTCAAAAACTCGAGAAACAGCAGGAAAAACAGCGAACACAGGGGCCCTCATAGCCGCCCGCACTCTTTGCAAAAGGCATCAGAGAAGAGCGCATCACACGCTTATGCGTTTCTGGCTTTTGGTAGGTTCGAGCCACTTCATAGCTTGCTTGTAGAACAGTGTGGCACATACCAGCCCAGTACTGCTTGGTGTGCTGGCCACCAGCCGCTAAGGGAGGATGTGTCTATTTCTTGGCTTTAGCCTCATGGCGTCCTCTCACCCCGGCAAAAAGCGGTGGGCCGCTCTGGGTATGACACATCGGGGGAGCATTTCAACTTATAGGGGGCCTCGAATGGGTGTCCATTCGATCCACGCAAAAGCTGCGTACTCTTTGCGTGGATCGTGGACACGCCCTCTAAAGGGAGTGTCCTTTTGAAAATGACCCGATGGAAGCTTCCAACCTCAGGTCTCAGAGTGAGCTCCTGAGCCGCCGGGAAACCCAGAAAAGTGTTTGGTCGAAACGGCCTCCCGCTTTCGGTCCATTTAGGGTTCCGGTAAATGGTCCATGGGAATTTCAACCACAGACGCCGGACTCACTACTTCTCCAAGGGGGAAACATGTCATTTTGACTGGCATGGACCATGCGTGAAATACTTCATTGCCCCGCCTGCGCTCACTCGTGGCACAGAAATCCTTCTCAGCTGTCCAGTTTCATTTCAGCTTTGGCTACCTGAAGACACAATCCCTTCATGTAAAGCCTGGGGCTGCGCATGCCTTCAAAAAGGGCAGGCTGAGCCACTGAGAGGGTTTCCAGTGAACACACACACACATCATGCTGAGATCGTTCGATGTGACCATCACGTGAAACAATAATCAGTCAGAGGCAGCTACTAGAAGAGAGGAGCACAACTGAAATCTCCAGCAACACCTGAAGAACACAAGGCCGGTGGGAGGACTTCTCTCTCACCACTGAAACTGGAGGGCCCTGGCTTTGAAAGACAGATAGCCACCGCCGGGTTTGAGCATAGACAAGTTGTGCATCAAACCTCGAAACAGCCTCCCTCAGCCGTGCTTTGGTCACGTGGCACAAATGATGAGATTTTGGATACCGGCTGCGACCATCTCCCTGCTTACTTAGGTCCCTTCTCAGTGAAGGCCTGCATTTCGGACACACCGGGATAACCTGAAATGCATGATCCTGAAATACATGACTACATAGCGAATCGCGAACCCAACCAATGAATAACATACAAACAGGATTGATGCATGAGAAGCATACGTAAGTTATTCATGCACCAAATGGCCGTAAAAAACTCTTAAGTCAAACCTCTGCAATTCAAACTCTTGCTCGCTTGCTGGTTTTGCCCCCCCCCCCCCGTTTTCTCGGATCGATCCCCCACTCCTCCCGCGTGTCCGCGCGTCGGTTTCCGCCCGGCTTTCGGCTGTTGCGGCTTTGGAGGCTCGGAGCTGTGCAGCCGCGAGGGCGTGCCGGAGAGGCTGCAGCAGCTGGAGCAGCTGCTTTGCGTCATGGACGGGAACGGTTGGCCGGTTGGGCGGTTGGGCGCGCCGGCTGGGACTTGGACAGCTTGGGTCTTTCTCTTTTATTCTGGGTTTGCTACAGGAGCCCAAGCTTTTTTTTGGATTCCCAGTCGAATTTGTGTTGCTAGTTTTCGGGGAAGGAAGCTTTCAGCCCATTTCGGGAAGGTACTTTGTCGTTTTTCCAGACGTTCCAGGCATTTCCCTGAGTTGGAATTCCAAGCTGAACCATCCGTCTGGTGGTTTCCTGTTTTTCGAGTTTCATTCCCAAAGCTGTGGATTCCTTGAGAAGCAGCAAGTTGATTCCGCCGGGCCACCCGCTGAGGCGCCTCTTTGCGCTTGGGCTGGTTGGGTAAAGCGCTACCCGACTCGGCCAGGTGATGCGTTGCGCGTGAAGTGGAAGCAACAGCTTTTTGGATTCGTTGCATGCAGATCCCGAAGCTAGCCTGGCCCCCACTTAGAAAACATCTAACCCCCCAGACTTCAGGAAACGCATGAGTCCAAATTTGCCCGCGTAATTAGGTATCCCCCATTCAATCCTGCAATCTTGACTCAAAGCTGTACAAGGCCTTTGCCAGCTTTCATTGGAACATCTTCTCTTGCCCTTTTACAAGTTGGCCGATCCAACTCTGCAGGAGGAACTGCGCAACCCGAGAACCTCCATGCTGATGACCGCCTGGCGCTTTCTCAAGGCGCGGGTTCTCAAAAAGCTGGCGTCGGGGGGATACCCTAAAGAGGGCCTTTCTTTTGGGTTTTGGGGGGGGGGGGTTCTGTTTCCTCATGTTTGGCGATGTATTAGTTTTTGGTAATAGCTTTTTCTCGGTGAAGTCGGGGTCTTTGTTGCCGTTTCGGGGGCGGCAGAGGCAGCGTGTTCTGCTACCTGCATTTAAGAAGTTTGGCCCGCTGTTGCTGTTGCACCTTGTTTGGTGGGCCAAGCTTGACATGTCTTGGACAGAGGCACCCTATCCCAACAATATGAGAAAATACTGGGATTAAGTAGGGTATAGCGCGTACTTGGGTGATGTTGCTCCATTCTGACAATTTCGGGCCAGTTCCCGTGCAAAGGTCACTTGCATTTGACACAGCAGCAGTTTGCTCCTAGCTGCTTGTTCTATGAAGAACATTGATGAACTCCTTCAATCAATCCTGGTCATTTGATGGAGTCCATCCAGTCTAGACGGCCACGTCACCTGCAGGTTTGCCACAAAGGCATCGAACCAAGCCGAACGGCCGAAGGTGCTTAAGATTGATGGAATCCCCCTAGCTGGGTGGAAGTTGGTCAAGCCAAAAAGCAAGCAGACGCAACTTTTGTTTTGCTATGTCTGCTTCTTCTTAGGGTTGACAGGTGATTGGTTGGTCAGTGGGTTGGTGGGTTGGGTCGGTTGGTTGGTTGGTTAGTCGGTCGGTCGCTCGGTCGCTCGGTCGCTCGGTCGTGCGGGGGCAAGCAGGGAGGCAGCATCCCCAGCACCTCCAGCATCGTTTGGATGTCGTGTTTGGAGCATTTGATAGATTTCAGGCATGCTTTGGGACCCACCAACGTGCTGTCAATCGCTTGCGACAATGGTTCAAAGGGGTTAGACCTGGTATTTGGTGAGCAAACAGCCCGAAGTACAATGAGCTCATGCTCCTTTTGCGATCCTTCATTCAGGCTTGTTGGAATTTCTGATGTTTCACTTTCACTTACAGTGTCTGGCAAACAACTGCCGATCTCTTTCTTGCCATGTTTTGCAAACGGTGCGCCTTCCATTGCGGAAGGTTGCTAAATCAGGTTCTTTGCAACGCCAAACCGCCTTTTGCATGTTTGTTTGCAGTTGTTTTTCTTCCGGTTTTCGTGTTTTTTCACTGGGAGGGGCGAGGTTTTGTGGGATTTGCGAGGCGCCCACGGTGGGCTCTCTTGGGCAACTGCGCGCGGGGCGTCTCAGGGGGACCAAGGTCCGTGGCCCCGAACTGTTGCCCTTTGGGCGCTTGCTGCCCTGCATGGATTGCCTTGAAGGTCCTCTTTCATGTTCGTTCTTTCTTTGCTTGTGGGGTCTCAAAAGTGATCGATCTTTGAGGCCCCGAAGGAGGGTCGGCTGTGGGTTCTCCGTTGGAGGGTGTCTGCATTGGAGGGCTCGTGACTCTTAGGATGGCCGAATGAACTCACACCAACCTTTGATCTGACCTTTCAGTTTTCCACCCTTGGGCCAAGTTGGACGTGATTTTCTGGAAAAACCCTTGTTTTGGCTGATTTCAAATGGAAAGGAGACCACCTGGTTTGTGTGTTCCCCAATTTGGACACCTTTCCAGGTCCCAGAAGTTTATCACCGTTTTCACTTTGAAAAGAGCCAATGTTGAGGGTCCAGAATGAGATAGCGCCGAACCTGCCCTTTGACATGTCCTTTAACATGTCGTTTCTGACGCCTTCTGACCGGTTGCGTCCCTTGAGGCCCTACAGCAAGGGAGGGTGTGGGTGTCCCTGGTGTGTGTTGGTCAACATGATTTTAGGGATGCCTGCAGCTGCAATGCACCACTTGCTTTCACCGTTGGCTATTCGATAGATTTCCTGTGCCACGAGCAGCCCATTGCCCCAGCCTAAGGAATGTGGGCAGACCCAAGATGGGTAACTCGCAAACATGGGCATGCACAGAGGATGGCTGGAAAACGTCTTCTTTGAAAAGGGGCCTTGTGGGGCACCCGTTGTTCAGTCAACAGTACACAAGCAGACTTCTCTTGCCAACCGGTGCCGGGCCGCCTCGCACGCATGTTTTTCTCTACAGCATGAGGCAACGTGCAAGATTGCTGCTTTGGATGGGGCGTTCGCCCGAATTCACTCGGGACAAGTTGGGATTCACGAAGGAATAGGTATCGCCTCTCAAACAAAAGAACTCAAGGAACGCCAGTTTTTTGGGGATACCGATCGGATCGACCTCTCCTTTTTCCGCGTTCCGGGAAGCTGTTGCCCTTGTCTCCAGACATGTGTTGAGCTAGGACAGCTGACTTTCCTTTGCATTTGGGCAATTGAACATTGGCCCTCTTGGCGAGGACTGAGCCAAGAAGCCAAGTCTCCAGATCAGGTCATGGCGAACATGTCGGCACTTTTCGACCAGCTCATGTTCCGACATCCTTTTCACCAGCTTTCTTTTGGGAAAAGCCAGCTGCCGGCTGCCGAAAAGGCCGTAGGATCGCCATGTGGACCCCGGTGAAATCCACCGGCGCGGACGTCTGCGGCTTCGTGTCGCCGGTGGCGCTGGCGCTGCTCGTGGCGGGGAAATCCAATCCGATCCATGGGCCGTTGGGGGGTTTCGATGGCCGGGTTCCTCCGGATGCCCCCAAATATTGAGCCATTGCAGGCATGAACCGTTCATTGTAAGTTTTCTTTTGTGATGTTCAAAGGCTGGACATCTAGGAAACCTTGAACCCCTGATGATTGTTGTCCCCATAAGGCCTTCCCGAACCTTGTTTAGCCCTTTGACCCTTGACAAAAGCTCTCCTCAAAAGACACATCAAAGGATCAATGGTGCGAGACTCTGCAACGGCTAGAAAAAAAGCAACCCCTTTGGCCTTCTTGAACCTTGTTTAGCCTGATTGAAACCTTGTTCACCCCTTGTTTACGCCTTGTTTAGCCCTTGGTGACATTGAACTTTTGCAACTCATCTTGGTAACCCACCTGTGGGTAAATTTTGTCGCTCACTAGGAGCATAAAATGAACCCCCTTTTGACACTGATTTTGACTCCTGTAGAGTGGAGATGACTGGCGTCTGAGCCAACCGGAAAACAGGACCTTATAAAATGCTCTCGGAGGCAACAAACAAACCTCATAGAAAAGGGTATTTTAGAACACAACCAAGCACACACACACACACACACACACCCTTATGACATTCTGAGTTTGCTTGCTTGCTCGTTCATTCGTTCGGCTGCATCATGCTGCCCTCTCTTGACAAGCAGAGAGGTGGGTTTGCTCCGTTTGTTCGTTCCTTCGTTCGTTGGTTTGGTACGCAGAACCACCGGCCCTGTTCGGAAATGTTGACCCCGGATTGCTAACCCCCTGTTTACTAATAAGGGGGTGTTCCCCACTTTTTCCCACTAAAACCAGGGACACCCCTAAACCCTAAACCCTAAACCCTAAACCCTAACCTTCATACTAGTAAACAGGGGTTTGTTCATCCGGGGTCAACGTTACTCGGGGTCTGGCTGGGAATCAGGTGGTGGCCACCCGGCGCCTGGGCGCGGACGAAGCGCCGCTGCTGTGGAAGCTGCTGCTGGAGGTGCTGGTGGCGCCTCGGCGCGCGTGGCGCGGGTGGGTTCTTGGGCGCCCGGCGCCCTCTGGTTGGGTACCCTCGGTTTATGGGGAGGGGGCTGGTCAGGGGCGATTGGGGGGTCCAGTGCTTTTTGTTGGTGGATGAGAGGAAACATCTCGAGTTTCTAGGGGTTTCTGTTCCCAACAGCTTTCCACAAAGGGTCTCAAGGTTTAAGGCGCTTTGCCACCGCATGTTTTCTCCAGCGTCTGGACACCAGCTGCAACCGGCACCGGGTTTGCTTAACAACGTGGGCCTTTGCGTGGGTTCAAGCATCACCTTGGGTGATGTTTGTAGGTTGGCAACGACCCTGTCCCCCAGATTTTGAAGTTTGACAATTGGCAGTTGGGATCCGAACCCGCGGCATGTTTCCCGTCCAATTTGGGGACCTCACCAGGTGGCTGGCTTCCTTCTGGTTTCCGGTCAAATCCATGCAAAGCAGGGATCACTGAAGTGACTATGGGTGATGCAAGGGCGGATGGTGGAGCCACTAGAACTTGCCCAGAAAGCGCTCCAGACAAGTAGCCCCGTTAAGAAGACCCAACGCCTTGAAGCCCACTTTTTGGGGGTTAACATATCACTTTGCCAAGGCACACACACACACACAAACCCATACTGCGCCTTGTCTCAGGACGTGGCCCATGTCTATGGCATCTTGCCGTGGATGGGTGCCGGTGCTTGTTGCTTCGTTGCCCCATGTGAGGCTCGTTGCCAGTAGGTTGCTGGTTCTCAGTCGGGAATGAGGGAATGACCACATCTAAACCACAAGGGATGGTTGCCTTCAAGCAAATCCCCTTCCGGTCCATTCCCTCCACCCCTCTTGATTCCCCACTGAGAACCAGCGAGAGATCCTGTTCTGCCGATGGCTTATGTCTGGCCTGCTTGTTCCTGTCTTTGACTCCCGACATGGCGACGGAGCGCGACCATTTTGGTTGGTTCAAAGCAAGCGGAAGCAACCCCCCGTTGGCATGACTTGCAGTGGACCCTTTTGGCAAAGTTCACTTTCTTGGATGGATCATTCAAAGTGAGGCGAAGCATGTTGCTTTCAAAAACAAGTTTCATCTTCTGAATGGTGGCTGCTGTTTGGGTGGCGACACCGACTGTTCCAATTCGGTCTATCCATGAATCGTCCCACTTAATTCGCAGGGTCTCGCGGGATCCGAGGTACTGGGGTCAGGTCCACCTTGCTTTCTCAGGCAACTCCTTGGAAGAGGAGCCTTGCGTATGGGCCCTTCTTGCACCCAGCTTACTCTCCCGTGCGAAGAATAAATAGCTATTCACCCTTTTGCTACCCCCCCTCCTTCCCTTTTTCAAGTGGGTTCTTGTGTTAATATGTTACCGTGCGTTCCCATGGCCCAACAGGCACACTCTGCCGCACCGTGCTAGACTCCGAGGCCGAAGCGTGGAGTCGAACATGCATGGGTTCAGTTTTCGGACTTTAGTCACTTTTTGGGGTTGGACCAACTTTCAGTGGCAAATAAGAAGTGTGGTGTCTTTCTTTGGCCAATCCTCTCAAGTGAGGTCTTTTGGGACGTAGCGGGTGGTGACACAGGTTGCACTTGGCAATGAATACAGCCCTGAGGAAGAGCTCCAAACACGGAAGACGTTTTCTAGGTGATTTCCCAAACAGAACTGCGGGATTTCGGGTCGGTTTTTTTTGATAATTAGCAGGGTCGGGAATCTCAAACTAGCGCTATTTCTGATTCAGCGACTGGGTCAGTGTAATTGAGTGGTTAGACAATTCACCCTGCCTAGAAACCCCCTGGCTCACTTCTGTCGGTCGCAACCTTCGGACTGCAAAATCGCTCGGCAGGCTACAGCCTTGAACTGGAGACTCTACCTCCTGGCCGTGCCAGGCCGGGGATTTGGCCTGCGAGGTCTCACCGATTCGCCTGGTGGGGATCTGATTCAAGCCACCATTCTCATATCATTCTTCAACTTTCTGGGATTGGAGACAAGAAGGAGCTCCAAAAGAACCAAAGGAGACAAGAAGGACATGTGGGTTTTGACCATGGCTCGGCTCACATCGCGAGCAAAGCTCGCTCGCGCACCGGGGGGGGATTCCTTTCTGCCGTTTCTCCAAGTCGGTGAAGCTCAGGTCACGGCTCCTTTTCGGGTCTTGCACCAAACCCATCGGTTTGGCCTCGGTTTTGCGTGGGCCGGTTTAAACAGTCCCAAGTCCCAACAGGGCCCAAATTGGTGGGTTCCCCTTGGCCTTCCATTTCACACCACCCCAAGGGCACCAACTCCAAGAGAAACCTACGCAACAGTTCCCGCAAGTCCGCCGCATGGTGTTCGAGGCTTGCTGCTGCCCACGTTGTTTGTGAACATCGCCGCGGCCTCGGGGCGGACTTTTTGAAGGGTAGCTATGTGACAAAATAAGGATTTGAACCCCCATCATGTTGGTTTTCCTTTGCATTCCCTTTAAACTACCTGTATACCAACCCCTGAAAAGGGTACCCTCATGTACCCCTCAAATAGGACACCCAGAAAAGTGCACCGTTTGATGAGCTGATAGGCTCTGTAGCTGCGTCGGCCTCTGAGTGACAAAAACCCAGTGCGTCCTGCCGGTTGCGTCTGACAGGGATGAGCAAAGATACGGGTGACCGGTGTGCCTGTGTTCGTGACCACTTTTAGGGTGGTGTAAAGGGACACCAAAGGGAACCGAACAGAGTTTTGGGCAGTGTCCCCATTTAGAGGCACACTTAATATGGGTACACTTTGGTTGAGGATACCCCTTCTGGAGCGCATTCAAAGAGAGGCCAACCGTAAGCCACCAATTTTGAGGGATCCTTATTTAGAGACAAATCCATATAAAGAGACAGCCACCATCATTGGCGAGCGTGAGACTTAATTTTGACCGCCATCCGCAAATGATCTGAATGCCTTGAACTTGGCGGCTCTTGCCTGGCTGATTGATACAAAGAAGATGCCTCGAGCTAGATGTCACAGCTCCAGAGTGTGAGCGGCCAAACCTTTCACCCGCCGGGCCGGTAGAGGTGCAATGAATCGACTGGGTGCGCTGATTTGTCCGAGCAAGCCGCATGCGGACTTGTCCGCTCCTGCGAAACCCAAGCTGCCAGCCAAGAAATGGTTCCCGTGCTTTTCCGAGACGTCGACGTGGCCAATCGAGTCGGACTCCGAGGAGTGTGGGGATTCAAAGCAAGAACTGCGAAGGCGCTTTCAGCAGCGCCAGCTCAGCACCTTCTTGCAGTTGCACAAGTTCCAGGCAGTAAACAGGCCGAGATCCGGGTTTACACTTTTTGGCGAGAGCAAGATTCTCCCCATTCATGTGGCCGCGCAGAGGGGAGATTATCAGATGGTGAGAATCCTAAAGGCATCCGGCGCTGACCCAGAATCCAAGACCTCCAAGGGGCGCAAGGCGCTGGACTTTGCTCGTGCTGCAAACCGATATGGCTCGCATGAGCCGGTGCTTTGCTTGCTCACCGGCCAAGTGAAGATCGGCACAGCTCGAGAGCTGTGCAGCGAGAGCACCGCGAGCTTTCAAGCGCAGTATGTGAACCCTGCTTGACCTGTTCAGTTGACACACCTTGAACGTTTGGCCGCTAGAATCTTTGACACCTACTAATCATTCTGTTTTATTCAATTAAGTGATCATGCAGAGTACAGATGATACATATACCCGTCAAGGCCCAGACAGTTTGAACTTTGGCGAGCGGACTGAGCAGGTCAGATGCTGGTTGATTCGTTGGTCAAGGGAGACGGGCCGTCCGTTCGGAGTCGCTTGGAACCCTGAAATCCTTACATTAAGGCCGTTTCCGAAGGATGCTCGTTCGCCTTAGAGCTTCTCCGAACGCCCGAACGTCCCGATTTCTCTTTTTCCCTCATGTTGCGCGTTGCAAGGCTCAAACGCGGTGCTTGTTGACGAAGGGTTGGTTTCTCTTGAGCTCTCAAGACGCCTGCGTTTCGCTCCGCCATGAAAGGACGCCTAGAACTCAGCTTTTCCAGGACCAGAAGCGAGCGTGCCTCGAAACCAAGCAGACCGGGGGCCCAAGAAGCCACACCCAGAAACGTTGGCGAAATGTCTTGAGTCTCGGCAAGCCAGACTGAAAGACCCCGGCTGCTGCTTTTAAATCAAACCAAACCCTGAACATGATTTTGAATGCATCGGACGGATTTTCCACTTCGCCAGTTTCTGAATTTGACACTTCTTTTGGTTTCGTTTTTCGTGTTCAAACAAACCACATATGTTTTTCCATGAATCCATGCGGACGCAGGGCTTTGGACTTGGAAAGGCAGTTGCTGGAGGAGGAAGTCTGGCAAAAGCCGAGCATGTCCGAGTCCTTTCGCCGCTGGGTTGCTCAGAACAAATATTCCTGCCAGATGGCATCGGGTTCCAGTGCAAAAGCCCCTGAGTTCCTGCTGGGAAGTTTGAGTGGCACAGATGCAATTTGGAGTGACAATCGTGTCCAACACCAATTGTCACTAGTTTTCCCCCAACAATCCTGGCTATTGTTGGAAAGAGGTTGGGCTGCCATGGTTCCCCTTGCTGTGGCACTGAATCAGTATAATATATGATGGTGGGGATGCCGTGTTGTAGTGGGTCCCACCACGGAGTGCGGATTCAAGCGATTAGGGCTCCCTCCACTTTGACGTACCCAGTTGAATCGCTATCGATGGCAACTCGGCATGATGGATTTTCGCATTGGACTCCCGATGCATTCTTCCGAAGATCCAAGATCTCCAAGGGCCGCAAGGCGGACTTTGCTCGTGCTGCAAACCGAGATGGCTCGCACGAGCCGGTGCTTTGCTTTCTCACCGGCCAAGTTAAGATCGGCACAGCTAAAGAGCTGTGCAGCGAGAGCATCGTGAGCTTTCAAACGCAGTATGTGAACCATGTTTGACCTGTTCAGTTGACACTCTGTGAACGTTTAGCCGCACTCCTTGAAGCCATTGAAGTCAAGGCCCAGACAGTTTGAACTTTGGCGAGTGGACTGAGCAGGTCAGATGCTGGCTGACTGGTAGGTCAGGGGAGACGGGCGGATGCTCGTTCGCCTTTAGAGCTTCTCCGACCGCCCGAACGTCCCGATTTCTCTTTTTCCCTCATGTTGCGCGTTGCAAGGCTCAAACGCGGTGCTTGTTGACGAAGGGTTGGTTTCTCTTGAGCTCTCAAGACGCCTGCGTTTCGCTTCGCCATGGAAAGGACGCCTAGAACTCAGCATTTCCAGGACCAGAAGCGAGCGTGCCTCGAAACCAAGCAGACCGGGGGCCCAAGAAGCCACACCCAGAAACGTTGGCGAAATGTCTTGAGTCTCGGCAAGCCAGACTGAAAGACCCCGGCTGCTGCTTTTAAATCAAACCAAACCCTGAACATGATTTTGAATGCATCGGATGGATTTTCCACTTCGCCAGTTTCTGAATTTGACACTTCTTTTGGTTTCGTTTTTCGTGTTCAAACAAACAACATATGTTTTTCCATGAACGCATGGATTCAGGGTTTTGGACTTGGAAAGGCAGTTGCTGGAGGAGGAAGTCTGGCAAAAGCCGAGCATGTCCGAGCCCTTTCGCCGCTGGGTTGCTCACGGATATTCCTGCCAGGACAAAGCCTCTGAGTTCCTGGACTTTACAACGTTTCGGGAAGTTTGAGGGGCACACATGCAATTTGGACTGATGATGTGTGTCCAATACCAATTATTGATTCAGAGCCCACTTGGGGCAGGGACTGATCCTGAGCTGTCCTTAAGGGCCCCTGACAGTTGTTCTACTAGTCACGAGTTTTCACTATTACCCTCCCTCCAACAATCACGGTAGCTGACAGGCAAGGTTGTGCAAGACCCGGCTGTCCACTTGCATGATTGTTGGAAAGAGGTTAGGCTGCAATGGTGCCCCTTGCCATGGCTCTGAAAATAAGACCTGTACATCATGGTGGAGATGCCGTGTTGTAGTGGGTCCCACCACGGAGTGCGGATTCAAGCGATTAGGGCTCCCTCCACTTTGACGTACCCAGTTGAATCGCTATCGATGGCAACTCGGCATGATGGATTTTCGCATTGGACTCCCGATGCATTCTTCCGAAGAGCAAAGACCTCCAAGGGCCGCAAGGCGGACTTTGCTCGTGCTGCAAACCGAGATGGCTCGCACGAGCCGGTGCTTTGCTTTCTCACCGGCCAAGTTAAGATCGGCACAGCTAAAGAGCTGTGCAGCGAGAGCATCGTGAGCTTTCAAACGCAGTATGTGAACCATGTTTGACCTGTTCAGTTGACACTCTGTGAACGTTTAGCCGCACTCCTTGAAGCCATTGAAGTCAAGGCCCAGACAGTTTGAACTTTGGCGAGTGGACTGAGCAGGTCAGATGCTGGCTGACTGGTAGGTCAGGGGAGACGGGCGGATGCTCGTTCGCCTTAGAGCTTCTCCGACCGCCCGAACGTCCCGATTTCTCTTTTTCCCTCATGTTGTGCGTTGCAAGGCTCAAACGCGGTGCTTGTTGACGAAGGGTTGGTTTCTCTTGAGCTCTCAAGACGCCTGCGTTTCGCTTCGCCATGGAAAGGACGCCTAGAACTCAGCATTTCCAGGACCAGAAGCGAGCGTGCCTCGAAACCAAGCAGACCGGGGGCCCAAGAAACCACACGCAGACACGTTGGCGAAATGTCTTTAGTCTCGGCAAGCCAGACTGAAAGACCACCGGCCGGCTGCTGCTTTTCAATCAAACCAAACCCTGAACATGATTTTGAATGCATCGGACGGATTTTCCACTTCGCCAGTTTCTGAAGTTGACACTTCTTCTGGTTTCGTTTTTAATGTTCAGACAAACAACATATTAATGTTTTTCCATGAATCCATGCGGACGCAGGGCTTTGGACTTGGAAAGGCAGTTGCTGGAGGAGGAAGTCTGGCAAAAGCCGAGCATGTCCGAGTCCTTTCGCCGCTGGGTTGCTCAGAACAAATATTCCTGCCAGATGGTATCGGGTTCCAGTGCAAAAGCCCCTGAGTTCCTGCTGGGAAGTTTGAGTGGCACAGATGCAATTTGGAGTGACAATCGTGTCCAACACCAATTGTCACTAGTTTTCCCCCAACAATCCTGGCTATTGTTGGAAAGAGGTTGGGCTGCCATGGTTCCCCTTGCTGTGGCTCTGAATCAGTATAATATATGATGGTGGGGATGCCGTGTTGTAGTGGGTCCCACCACGGAGTGCGGATTCAAGCGATTAGGGCTCCCTCCACTTTGACGTACCCAGTTGAATCGCTATCGATGGCAACTCGGCATGATGGATTTTCGCATTGGACTCCCGATGCATTCTTCCGAAGATCCAAGATCTCCAAGGGCCGCAAGAGGTGGCCTTTGCTTGTGCAGCAAACCGAGATGGCTCGCACGAGCCGGTGCTTTGCTTTCTCACCGGCCAAGTTAAGATCGGCACAGCTAAAGAGCTGCGCAGCGAGAGCATCGTGAGCTTTCAAACGCAGTATGTGAGCCATGTTTGACCTGTTCAGTTTACGTTCACTCTGTGAAAGTCTAGCCGCTACACTCCTTGAAGCCATTTAAGTCAAGGCCCAGACAGTTTGAACTTTGGCGAGCGGACTGAGCAGGTCAGATGCTGGTTGATTCGTAGGTCAAGGGAGACGGGCCGTCCGTTCGGAGTCGCTTGGAACCCTGAAATCCTTACATTAAGGCCGTTTCCGAAGGATGCTCGTTCGCCTTAGAGCTTCTCCGAACGCCCGAACGTCCCGATTTCTCTTTTTCCCTCATGTTGCGCGTTGCAAGGCTCAAACGCGGTGCTTGTTGACGAAGGGTTGGTTTCTCTTGAGCTCTCAAGACGCCTGCGTTTCGCTCCGCCATGAAAGGACGCCTAGAACTCAGCTTTTCCAGGACCAGAAGCGAGCGTGCCTCGAAACCAAGCAGACCGGGGGCCCAAGAAGCCACACCCAGAAACGTTGGCGAAATGTCTTGAGTCTCGGCAAGCCAGACTGAAAGACCCCGGCTGCTGCTTTTAAATCAAACCAAACCCTGAACATGATTTTGAATGCATCGGACGGATTTTCCACTTCGCCAGTTTCTGAATTTGACACTTCTTTTGGTTTCGTTTTTCGTGTTCAAACAAACAACATATGTTTTTCCATGAATCCATGCGGACGCAGGGCTTTGGACTTGGAAAGGCAGTTGCTGGAGGAGGAAGTCTGGCAAAAGCCGAGCATGTCCGAGTCCTTTCGCCGCTGGGTTGCTCACGGATATTCCTGCCAGGACAAAGCCTCTGAGTTCCTGGACTTTACAACGTTTCGGGAAGTTTGAGGGGCACACATGCAATTTGGACTGATGATGTGTGTCCAATACCAATTATTGATTCAGAGCCCACTTGGGGCAGGGACTGATCCTGAGCTGTCCTTAAGGGCCCCTGACAGTTGTTCTACTAGTCACGAGTTTTCACTATTACCCTCCCTCCAACAATCACGGTAGCTGACAGGCAAGGTTGTGCAAGACCCCGCTGTCCACTTGCATGATTGTTGGAAAGAGGTTAGGCTGCAATGGTGCCCCTTGCCATAGCTCTGAAAATAAGACCTGTACATCATGGTGGAGATGCCGTGTTGTAGTGGGTCCCACCACGGAGTGCGGATTCAAGCGATTAGGGCTCCCTCCACTTTTTGACCAACCCAGTTGATTCGCTGTCGATGGCAACTCGGCATGATGGATTCTCGCATGGGACTCCCGATGCATTCTTCCGAAGATCCAAGATCTCCAAGGGCCGCAAGAGGTGGCCTTTGCTTGTGCAGCAAACCGAGATGGCTCGCACGAGCCGGTGCTTTGCTCGCTCATGGCCAAGTTAAGATCAGCACAGCTCGAGAGCTGCGCAGCGAGAGGTCTGTGAACCATGCTTGACCTGTTCAGTTGACACACTGTGAACGTTTAGCCGCTACAATCCTTGAAGCCATTGAAGTCAAGGCCCAGACAGATTGAACTTTGGCGAGTGAACTGAGCAGGTCAGATGCTGGTTGACTCGTAGGTCAAGGGAGACGGGCCGTGCGTTCGGAGTCGCTTGGAACCCTCAAATGCGACCAAAGATCCTTGCATTAAGGCCGTTTCCAACGGATGCTCGTTTTCCTCGGAGCTTCTCCGAACGCCCGAGGCTCCGATTTCTCTTTCTCCTGTTGCGCGTCACACAAGACTTTGCACGCCAGTTGTCTGTATGGTTTTGCAAGTGACAAACTGCTTCCGTCGTGCCTTCGTATTTTGCTATCTATGGCTTTGAAGCTAAGCTTATGTTGCAAAGCTCTTTTCTTGACCTACAGACGGCTTTGTGTGTGCGTGAAACACATTGGAATCCTTCAACATGACCAGTTTTCCTGTGGTTGACCGTTTTTCCCATGTCCGCAAAATTACTCTATATTCTTGAGTCTTCAACCAGCTTGGTAAGTTATAACCATGGTTATAAGGAGACTGGCCCCAGTTACCCGCGTCACACAACCATGGTAATCTTTGGTTGAACACCCATCATGCCTGAGCTGACTAGAATTTGGCAGCCTTTAAAGCTCAAGCTAAGGCTTTGGTAGTTGATTGCAGTACCAGCCATGTTCCGCGGACCTTTTGGCTGGAGCGAGATGCTCAAGAAGCCTTGGTGCACAGCCACTTTTTGCATGAGCTTGGGGGCATGGTGCTACTCTTGGTTCAAGATCGTGTGTTTTTGCAAGGCTGTGGTTTTGCACGGAGAGCGAGACATTTTCACCTGGGCTCCGCTTGCCGGGCAGCTGCTTGGCCTGATCATGACCAACGCTTTGGGTGTGCTCCACTTCTGGCGCGCAGCCGCGCAGAGTGGGAGTGATCCTGGCCATTTTCGACTTGGACATTTGGCTCCTGGCGATCCGCCACGGCCCGGGCATTTTGAAGGGAGAGGCCCCTCAGCCATGGGAGAAGCTGCGCCTACGCAACGCGATTTGGCGCGGGATCCCTTTGGCGTGCATCGACTACCACCTGGCCATCAGAGATTCGTTCGAGATAGTTGCTTGTGAATTGCTCGCCTTTTTGCGTCTCCAACTGTTCAGGGCAGGGGACAAGCAGCCTTCGCCGTTTGTGACGGCATTGAGCAACCATGGCATCAATTTCTTGCAACTATCTGAGGCGCAAAGAAACTTAACGTTGCTGTCATCGACATCTGCGCGACTGTTTCAGCCGGAGACTTTGGCATGGATGCTTTTGCTCGAGAAGAACATCTGGCACTGCTCCCATTGTGACAAGTCCACCTGGGAGATGCGGAGCCTCACAAAGGTTGAGGATGCATTACAAACTTGGACATATTTCCAGTTTGCCACCGACGCAAAAGACAACTTCTATGGACCATCGTGGTACTGCAACATGTTTGCACTAAATGTCAAACTGCATGATGAGTTTGCGAAGCGCCTTCGCCTTGAGGATCGCACGCTGCGCAAGCACATGCTTGGCCTTGCTTCAGGCTTTAGTCTGAAAGCAGTAGGTGCGCGGGCTGCCATCAAGCTAGTGACCAGTGAGCAGATGTGGGAAGCAGCAAGTTCGTGGGAAAGAGAGGAGAGGCTGGAGGATGGGGGCCGCGCAATCAGTGTTGGGCAGTTTCGCCCTTGGGGAATCATTTCAATGCTCATGGCTTGCTTCTCTTTGTTCAATGCTTCATTGCCCCTCGCGGCTCATGTGTGCAAGCTCCGCATGGTTGGGGCCAACAACTTCATGCAAGCCAGCGTCAGGCTTCACGCTCTGCTGGATGTTTTTTCTTGGTTCGTGCAGCAAACTTGATGCTGCAGTCTTGGCTGGCCACTCTTGGTGGTGAGATCATAGTTTATGCGTTTGACATGATTTTCGGTCTGACGCCAGTCATCCTTCAGACATGCAATCTTGAAAGCGTAGGGCAGTCACGGGACACGATTGTTCGAGTGGTGTCCAACATCATTGCCGAGAACGTCCCCAAAATGGTGCTTCATTTGAAGAGTGAAGTGCAGCGCAACGCTGAACTCCCGCCTGAATTTTCCCTTCGGATTGTCGCAGTCATAGCTGGCTTTGTGCTGCTTTCAGCCACCGCAGCATGGTCCTTGCGCCCAAGTGCCTCAAGGCTTGGCTTTGGACGATGCCTGAACTCCGCGATTTGTGGGCCGTTATATTTGCTGGCTCACGCGGAAGACCGCTCTCTGCGAGACACGTGCGGATATGTGTCGAGGCTGATTTGCCTCAGGGGGCTGTTCCTGGCCTCCATGGTGGCATTTACCTGGCGAGGTGTCGCAGCGAGTCACGCTGAAGTGTGCTTTGCCGCCGTCAACAATGAGAATGTGTCGTACCGCTGGATATGCTTGCGCTGGCTGGCGTTTGCTCTGGCCCACGCTGTCACAGGCTTTTCCGCCGTCCTTGCCATCAAGACTTCTGCGCAAAGTTTGGAGCGCGAAGCTGTGGATGTGCCCTTAGAAACGCTTTCGGATGCTGGTCCGCCCAGAGGCATGGGCTATCGATCCTTTCCAGTCCGCCAGGCTAGAGCCGGCTAACGCAGTCAGCGCTGATTCCTCCCGTCCAATGACCGAGAGAATCTTGTCCGCCAATGCGTGGAATGCATCCATCCGGAGGAGACCGAATGGGCTATGGCCAAAACGGCTGAGCGAGCAGCAGGAGTTTGCAAAGTGTAAGTCGGAGTTCTAACAGGCGGAACCATTCGCTTTGAATAGGTAACCATGTTTGTTCGGAGCAAAATAATTAAGTGCTTCCTTTTGACGTTGAGGTCTTTGGGACCTGGCTTGGCTGGTCGCTGCTCTCCTACTACGCCATGTTCCACTTTGCCCCGCGCTCAAGGGGCTAGGGACTCGATGTGCTCCGAAGCCAACATCAATGGGTGTTGGGCCAAGTGTTTTAGATGTGTCACGAGTTTTGCGTCAAAGTGGCTGGACATGAGCCCATGTGGTTGTTTCCTTTGTCCAACCAGTTCAAACTCACGCCCGATTCCTTCGTAGTTGCGGATCGATTCACCTTGCCGACTGAGAATCAGAAATTAGACTTGGGGTATCGGTTTGGCTGTCCTTTTCCCATCCTTTGGGCCAACTTCAGGGTTCGACTCCCTTGGCCATGAGTCACAAATGATCCAGGAAAGTGAGTCGAACAAAGCTTGGGGTTTGAAGGGTTCCAACTCGTCCGGACAAACCGCAAACCGAGAAACGAGCGGCCGCTTGGGCGCCAAAGGTCGCAGGTCTTGGGTGTGGAACATGGCGACTCCAAGCGACGATAGGAATGGCAACAGGACTTTGGCACAGCGGCTCAGGCCAAGCAGCCCTTCGGGCTCTTGTGCATTTACAAGGCGCTGTCGAAGCCCGGGACTCCTCGTCGGGTAGGTGTTGGATGGCGACAAGAACGGTTTGATTTCGAGAGAGCCAACACAGCAGAGCCTTGCAAAGCCTCTGAAGTCGTGGTTGTTCTCTGTTTGCTTCTTTGTTCGATGCTTTGGTACAAAAGGGGGCAACTGTTGTTTTCGGCTATGCTCGCCACTGAAGGGTTTGGCTTGGCAGCTTATTTGCGCATCTCAGTCTGAATGCATGAGACTCAGCATTGTGAAATCCGCGCAGGTGTGCCGCATGGCTAAAGATGTGTCGGCCCTTTCAAGGCTTGGTAACATCCATTTTGGGGGCACGGAGGGCAGGAAGCCCCGGTTTTTTTTTTCCCTGCCACTCGCCGGGCCAGTGCCTTGATTCACTCGGATCCATTGGAAGGGATGGAGCGGATCCAGCGGGGCGCCCGGCGCTGGGCGCCCAAAGCCATGGGCCTGCGCCTCGATGCCCTCGATGCCCTTGATGCCTGGGACATGGAGGCGAGAGCGAGCCGCTTCGGACGTGCTAAAACAACGGCACGTGGTTCGTTTTTTTTCTTTCTTACTTCTTCTTTTTTGCGGCAACAAGAAACACAGATGTGTTCCGTTTTATTCCCCACATCTTTGTGTGGGGTTCTTACTTTTACCGCTCGTCGTCCGCGCGCCGCGTCTCCTCCTCCCGCTCGTCTCCGTCTCACTCACTCACTCACTCACTCGCTCACTCACTCACTCTCACTCACTCACTTACACTCACTCAACTCACACTCACTCACTCACACTCGCTCACTCACTCACTCACTCAGTCACTCACACTCACTCACACTCACTCACTCACACTCACTCACACTCACTCACTCACACTCACTCACACTCAGTCACTCACACTCACTCACACTCACTCACTCACTCACGCTCACTCACACTCACTCACTCACACTCACTCTCATTCACTCACTCTCATTCACTCACTCACTCACTCACTCACTCACTCACTCACTCACTCACTCACACTCACTCTCATTCTAGAGGGGCAGGCTGTTGTCGCGCGCGCGGCGGGGGGCGCGCGAAATCGTGGCAGGCGCAGCACTTTGGCGATGCCGTTGCGAAATCGTGGCAGGCGCAGCACTTTGGCGATGCCGTTGCCGAAGTCGTGGCAGGCGCAGCATTCTGTGCATCTGGGTGTGTGTTTGTGTGGCAGGGGTCGCATTCGGCAGCTGTCTAGAGGGACAGGATGTTGTCGCGCGCGCGGCGGGGGGCGTGCGAAATCGTGGCAGGCGCAGCACTTTGGCGATGCCGTTGCGAAATCGTGGCAGGCGCAGCACTTTGGCGATGCCGTTGCCGAAGTCGTGGCAGGCGCAGCATTCTGTGCATCTGGGTGTGTGTTTGTGTGGCAGGGGTCGCATTCGGCAGCTGTCTAGAGGGACAGGATGTTGTCGCGCGCGCGGCGGGGGGTGTGCGAAATCGTGGCAGGCGCAGCACTTTGGCGATGCCGTTGCGAAATCGTGGCAGGCGCAGCACTTTGGCGATGCCGTTGCCGAAGTCGTGGCAGGCGCAGCATTCTGTGCATCTGGGTGTGTGTTTGTGTGGCAGGGGTCGCATTCAGCTGTCTAGAGGGACAGGATGTTGTCGCGCGCGCGGCGGGGGGCGTGCGAAATCGTGGCAGGCGCAGCACTTTGGCGATGCCGTTGCGAAATCGTGGCAGGCGCAGCACTTTGGCGATGCCGTTGCCGAAGTCGTGGCAGGCGCAGCATTCTGTGCATCTGGGTGTGTGTTTGTGTGGCAGGGGTCGCATTCGGCAGCTGTCTAGAGGGACAGGATGTTGTCGCGCGCGCGGCGGGGGGTGTGCGAAATCGTGGCAGGCGCAGCACTTTGGCGATGCCGTTGCGAAATCGTGGCAGGCGCAGCACTTTGGCGATGCCGTTGCCGAAGTCGTGGCAGGCGCAGCATTCTGTGCATCTGGGTGTGTGTTTGTGTGGCAGGGGTCGCATTCGGCAGCTGTCTAGAGGGACAGGATGTTGTCGCGCGCGCGGCGGGGGGTGTGCGAAATCGTGGCAGGCGCAGCACTTTGGCGATGCCGTTGCGAAATCGTGGCAGGCGCAGCACTTTGGCGATGCCGTTGCCGAAGTCGTGGCAGGCGCTGCATTCTGTGCATCTGGGTGCTCTGTAATCGCATCCATACAAGGGGCGCACGGTACATGTGTGTGGACATTTGAACTCACATCCTTGGGAAAAACATAGCATGTGGGGGTATCCGGTCCTTTAATTCATTTCAAGAGCCAGAAGCAGCAGGTTGGATGTTTGTGTTGTTTGGGTATGACCTCAAGGATACCACAAGGGCCTGAGCCATTGGAACAAACTACTTGAAAACCACGCGGCACCATGAGGCATCTCATCTTTCGGGCGATTCCATGGAAGATCAGACGGTGCGTGAGGCCTTCTGGGAGCTTCCGTGGAATCGCGGGGAGCCCGAGTTCAAGGTGACTCCGGGCGCCAGCTCCAGCCGGGCGCCGGCAAAGGGCGCCGACAGCGCCTCGGTGAGGTGTTCTGGATTCAAGTGACCGCAAATGGGCGGTTTTGAGTGGTGCCACCCAGAGGTATCGCTTGTATTCCTTGTATCTTCAAACCAAGCGGGAGGACACCTGTGACTCCCTGAGCCAAAATACTACTTGCAAACAAAGGGGCTAGCTTTTGCCTGAGTGCAAGTCACTTGATGCCTTTGTAGTATTTCGTTTGCTTCCATAGTTCTATGGCTGTTTTGTCAGGGCTAAGTCCGCCCTGCTCCCAGGCGAAACCAAGTTGCGCACTGCCCCGCTGAAGACTCCGGCGCCCGCCCCAGCGGCCCCAGTGGCCCCAGTGGCCCCAGCGGCCCCAGCCGCGGCCCCGGCACCAGCAGCAGCGTCAGCCCCAGCTTCAGCATCAGCGCCAGCCTCAGCTCCAACCCCCGCAGCCGCAGCTGCTCCAGCGCCCGAGGAACCCCCGCCCTCAGCGGCGGGGGATGGGAAGCGGCCGCTCTTCGTACGCAAGCGGCCAGCGCCGCGGGAGGATCCGGCTGAGAAGGAACTGGAGCCTCAGCAGCCAGAGCCTGAGGTGCAGGCGGGGGCATGCGCTCGGAAACTGAGCAACTCAATTTGAAATCCTTCAGGCTTGGGCTGGTGAGCATTGCTTTGTTAAGCATGCTTGCCTGCCGCTGTGCCATTTTGGTCAAGCCAAAATAGCCAGGGCTACTGGACCGGACAGGTCCTGTCAAGGTGGAGCGCTCACACCTCGCGTGCTTCTTCTTGTGCAAGCTGGTCGAGCTGTGGCTGAGGCCTGGAAGGCTTCCAGGTCACCCATTGGGATTGGCTCTGGTGGCCATGGTGCGGGGCCTCTTCAGGGCTGAAGAGGCGGGGCCAACGAGCGCCCCAAATACCAATATGGGCCGGGGCCTCCAGAACACGAAGCGACCGTGCTTCCAAAGCATTGAAATCCTTCTTCAGGCTTGGGCAGGTTGGTGAGGTATCATGCTGGACCGGACAGGTCCTGTTTTCCCCCCCACCCTCACGTGGGGTACGCTTTTGGGCAGTGAGCGGACCTGCGCACGAACCTCTACGATGCTCTTCCTGTGACAAGAGAGAAGTGGGAGACCGGGCCACTCTGTAAATGCCAGTGTAAGCTGGGACCGCCAGAACACGGAGGCGCGACAGCAGTTCATCCGAGGAGAAAAGGAAAGCGCATTGCTTTGACAAAGCGTCAATTGACCTCCACCAACAGCTTCTTGCAACAAGTGCTGTGAACATGTTTGCATCTGCGCTTGAGATGCGTGCCTTGAGGTTCCAACGTGGAACTCCAGCACTCCTATCGAAGTAAAGGCATTTCCTCGTGCCCCGCTTGGCAAGAGGAGTGAATCCTAAGTGTCATGTTGGGTGATGTTGAAAGGATAGAAAGCAGGTGTTTGCTTTGGTTTGGTTTCCTGCGGTTTCGCTTGCGAGGAAGTCTCCCTCAGGCTCAAGATTTTCCCACGTCTGCCATCCCAGAGGCCTTGCAGGTCGCGGCGACTGGCGCGGCGCCTCCGCTCCCGATGCTGGACGTGAAGGAGGAGGAGGAGATTGAGGAGGTGAGCATGCAGTTGGTCCTAGCGTCCGACTTCAAAAGCTGCAAAGAGGAGGACACGCCCATTGCCAGGAATCTTATCTCGCGAAGGAAAGCGCACATGTTTCAGCCTTCCCAAAAGGAAATGCGCCCGAAAAGGGGGAAGCGAGAGGGGGAGTTACGAGTTCAGCGCGTAGATGGCAACAGCGGCTTTGCCCCGCTCAACTTTGGGCCCGGCAACATGAAACCCAAAAAAGGGTCTGATTCCAAAAGGCGATTCCTCTGCTTTGATAGGAGTGGTTGGTGAATGTTTGAACTTCAGGGGAGTGTGTGTTTGCCGCTGGATGAAAACCACGCTTGTCCACGATTCCTGGCTGGTGCAACGCAGGCTGCTTGTTTGCACCGCGCGTGCCAACAAAGCGTCAGGGTTGCTCCAAACGGATCCTAAAGCATGAGCGGTGTCCTGTGGCTTCACTTGATGAGGTCCCTTCGAAAGCAGCCAACTCGAGGGTTTGATTGAGGATCCGGCCCCAAAGCTGAGCATCATGCCTTTGTGTCCCATTCGCTTCACTCATTCTCTTCAGACACCGTCCAGTTTCTCAGCGTTGTTTCCCCAGAAAAAAGGGGCGGTCCACTGCGGCTCTTGTCCAATGGGGCCCTTCCTTTGCCGGGCAACGAAAACATAAACAATGTCAATCAAATTGATCAGGGCACTTCGCAGCTCCTTGGCAAGGACCTGGTAATTTGCAGTCGAACATCGCCGTTTCATTTGCAATGAACATTGCGTTTGAGGTATCGGCCTTGCAACTCAAATTTGCAGTTGGGCCGCTGTCTCTTTTTCTGTTGTGGCCGGAGCTGGGAGGACAAGCGGAAGAGGAAACGGTCCAAAGCCAAGCCAACGCTGCCCCGCTTCGCCTTTGAGTGGT